TACCCAAGTTTCTCGTGGGTGGAATGAAATCATCCATTTCCATTTCCAACATTATTTTGTCCAAGGTAGGTATTTCTTTTTCTAAGTAAAGTGCTTCTCTTTGGTGACTTGATGAGGTCGCGTTTATCCTTGTGCACAAGTCGGTATATTGTTCACTGTCTAACTCCAATGATATTCGACCTTAACTTTGTACTAAGTAAAGTAACTATTATTTTAATAATTATAAATTTTAACACTAAGGCAGACAGGTATTTTAACTACTTGTCTACGGCTACGACCACTAAACTTTACAATTTAATATTGATTTATAACTCTCTCGCATTAGGAAACCGAGCATAATCAAAAATGCACTGTATATTTTTTTCATGACAATTCCACAATTTTCGTTGTTAAGTACCCCACTTTTATCCTTAAAATTAAAGTTCTATCCTCCTTCATTTGAATAAGAGCTATTTCTAGCACATAGTTTATGTTGAAAAAAAAACCTTCAGAATCAACAATCGCTGACAAAGTAATCCATACTAGGTATTGAAAAAATAGGCAAATATAAACTTGAAATCCTAAAAAACAAAAAAGTTATAGCCAATGCAAAAATGAAGTGAACGATACAGGTCTCAAAACTACAATTGTTGGAAAAACAATGAGGAGAACAAAGATTTTCCAATATTTTCGAACAAACTATTATAATGCGCAGTGTAAAAATGAGTGGATTAAGAAATCTACAAAGCCAAGAAGAGTTTTACACTTGGCTGCGTGATTTACAGCTGTTTCCATATATTATTATGAATTATATTAACAATTTTTAAGTCATCCTTGGTATTTGTTCGGCAGAAAATGTTAATTTATGTAAAACAAGCTTTCTTGCTCTCTGCTCTGCGAACCGTAGTAAAAGGCCTCCCGTTCTACCAGAACTTAAGCTAGAAAACTGATCGAATTCGATCTGTCGTCGTGCACACAGCACACGCTACTGCTCACTAGTTCTTCTGGGCTGGAAGAAGGTAGAAATGTCGTAATCCGAACACTAGAACTAGTTGTTGAAACCACCAGTTCTGAAAAGTAACGTTAAAGTTCGTAGTTATTTAGGAATATGCATAATCTGTTCGAAAATGTTTTATAAATTGGGCGCTCTTCGTATCTTTCCGCAGGTTGGCAAGAATCTCGGGATTATCAGGTAAATCTCGAAACGGCAGAGAGATGTCGAAAATTTATTGTCTTGCCATTGCTATCTTGTTAAGTTGGAAATTGGTGATCACTGGGTGACAAGAATATTGTGCGTTACGATTTCATTTAAATATATCACTTCTCAAGATTTTGGACCTCACTTTATAATGAGTTTAAGTATATTAACTTTGTCAAACTACACATAACAATAGTAATGCGACAGCGTTGGATTTGGTGAAGATAGAACTACAGCAGTCAAGATAAAATGCAAAAAGTCTCTAACGACCCTATGTGCGTTAATAAAGGTATTTAAATTTTTATCGAAAATGGTGCAGCACTGCAACAGAAGTTACATTCTGAAATGAAGTGTATTTTTGATTTCTGTAAACAACTTAATACCTTCAAACTAATGTCTTCTTCAATTTCTTCTTCCTGTTTCTCTGGCTGGCTGTATATATACTGTTCCAATGGAGGCATTTCATCTGTCTATTCACCGGTATTGCATGATTCTGACCTTGACATGTTTAATACACGCCCGTGAATACGGCAACCATAGTCTTTCACTCAGCGTAATAGTTTCTCATTGAATGAAAAGTTTACTGCAAACGAAGCATAATTGTGACTCTGTGAAAATCATAGACAATAATAAATGAGATATTTTGCACTTCCATCGTCTTTAATATTTACATCCTCAGCGTTTTAACTGGTCAGTGGTTTTTCAGTAGTCTCTAGGTGACACAAGAGCAGACATTAGAGTCTATTTCTAAAAGGGCGGAGAGTAATAGAATCTCCTTAAGTATACCAGCGACTATAGAGTGAGCCAATGATTACTTAAGCTGCTTTCATTCATTTTCTATCGAGTGCAGGTAGTACCACCCGGGTTTGATTATGATTTATGAGTTTTTCCAATTGTTATGCTTTCACCAACCTTAAAAATGATGCGCCAAAGGCGTGCCGGTAGGATACTGTTAAAAAAGAAAGAATTTTATGTTAACAGAATCTAAATTAAGTATAATTTACAAGGTGTCCCACTAAGAACGACCCTGGGCTGTATACAAGAAAGTATTAGCCGTATGGATTATGAAAAAAAAAGGACATCAGAAATTGCTGGAAATTTTTTTCAAGTTGGCGATTAACAAAAATGTGATTTTTACAAAGTTTTGCCCTATATGTGTGGGGGATCGTTCTCTGTTTTTATTTAATTGCCTTTACCAAGCTAGGTCTCTTCTAAAAGAGAGTTCTTTACCCTATCTACCGTATAAACAATTTTAGTTCACTTTAGACATTTCACAGTAGGCGCCAGGACACCTTACATTGCGTGTTTTTTCAAAAATTTCGAATGAAACAGTATGTATAATTTTATCGGAAACCGCATCTTGATAACCGAATATATTGGCTAAAATATTTGTAAATGCGAAAAATTAAAGCCTTAGCTACTTTTCTGAACATAGTCACGAAACAGAACACCAGATTTGGTTCGATAAAACTTGCTGAAGTTTCGCCAGTTCGAACTGTTTACCTGCTTATATACTGTTTGAGGGAGGCGGAGCTAAAGGATGGATGGATGAATATTGTCTCAGATGACTGGTTCCCATATTGGTGAAAGGTAAAGATCTGAGTAGAGGTTGTTTGGTTGTTTAGAGATATCTAAAAAATCTTAGAATGAGATATTATTATTAGTTTAATTCAGGGTATGTTACGGCGTATAGAGATTAAATGGTTAGAAAATCTCTGAGGGATTCTTGAGGTCAACTAACGAAAGTATCCTCAAAGTAGCGTTTGCATAGTTTTTTTTTTAGTTAGAGCTTCTTAAAAGCTTCTACAAATATATTTGCGATGACTGGTGGTAATAGAAAACCCATAGATATTCCTGATGTTTGTTCAAAAATTTGGCAAAAATATTTTCGTCAGTTAGTTTTCCCAAATAATTCACAGTGGGACACCTTGTGTAAACCGCTACCCTGCAAAGTCTAAAAAAAAACAACATTTTTTTACTACAAAAACATGTCGATATTCTTGCGTCACCCACACCAGAACGTAAAGGCAGTTTATTGTTTGTACATCTCCTTTGTATTGCTATATAATGTTTTTAACAAACATAATTATTTTCTCGTATACTCGTATATTTTGAAAGCGTTAGTGCCCGTAGGTAGATGTACGATTCACTAATTTGTTGAACTTCTAGTAAACCACATTAAGTTAATATTAAGTAGGAGTTTAGCATAAAATGAAATAACTTAAAAGATAGATATTTAGATAGTTCCATTTGGTTTATTTTTGAGGAGGTAAAAACTTTTTGCCAAATAATTCGCCACTGTTCGTATCGTACCTCGCTAGATAATGCCAAGTTAATATTATTTAGCACAAGAGTAATTCATAGTGCATGATCCGTTGTATTTTGCATGTTCGTAAAATCTGCAGCGAAAAGTTGCTGCAAAAACATTTTAGGAAACAAATTCACTCCGCCCATAAAAGAAATAGTTGACATGAGATAATAACTTTGATTGTCGTTAGAAGGTGGTAGACAATGATTCGGTAGGAATACTGAGAGATTGTCGAACTTCCAGTGTCTTTATCTTTCAACTCACACAATGTTTGGGGCATCGACTGTAGACAAATTTTAATTCGCAGACTAAGGAGCTTTATATACTGACCCGAAAATCGAGACATCCTCATTTAAAGTAGAGGATACAGACCAATATCTGTGCAAGAGCTGCGCATAAGACAACTAGATTAGTGTCGGAACTGTTGGAAAATGAGAGAAGAGTCTTTGAACATTGCATAGCTGCGACGCTGAATATTTAATTTAAATTTTAGAATTTTAATTTAGTTATAAAGGTATAAACCGCTTTCGCTATCCAAATTGTAAGGATAAATGTCACTCCTTAAAAAGGGAGCCATTTAGGACCATTTGAAAATAACAAAAATGGGTGCTGTGTATCTGCGACTGGAGTTGTGATGTCAATCGTAAATAAGATGAATCCCAACATGCTGTAGGTTTATGTCTCTTTTAGTTAAACATTTTATTTTATTTTTTTATGTCTTTTCTCTTCAGCATCAACAATCAGCTCAGGATCGTAAAATATTACACAATTTTGATAACATTAATAGTTGGTCCTACATTCCTTTTAATTGTGTGGTAAACCACTCGTTAGCTGCTATTTACACAAACGTTGCTTCTGGAAAGCGGGTATTTATTTGTTCTCACAGTAAGCTAACACACTTAAATCTACTCTACAGAGTTACCATTATATCCTCTATGAAGTTCAAATTTACGTTGTCTAACGCATTATAGTACAAAAACGATCCCTGTTCAGCAATCGGCATTGCGTATTTTGGATTGAGGTCACAATTCAGATCATATTTATATAGCGTCTGTAATTACAGAGTAAGAATTTTCTTTCCTACCGTCTATTCATTCAATATATTCAGATAAATATTTTGACCTCAATCATTTTGCTGTTTTGACCCAATAATGAAATCAATAATGAAATATAATATTTTGTCATTGTGAATGATTTTACAACTTCTATATTCTCTAAACGGAATGGACATGAAAATTGAAAAACCTGAAAAACAGAATATTTCCGGAACAGGTTTATATAGAAAACTGGGGCTTATTTTGGACGTAGGATATGCTGTTAGAGTGCACACTAATTTCGGAACACCCTATAGCTCTGTAGTCTTAGAATTAAAATTTCCCGACATCTGATAACGATACAACTTCCCGAAACATTGCGTAAGTTACAGAATAAAGGCAATGGAAGTCCGATAATCTCCTGGTATCGTTTATATTCGTGATCATTGCTAAATGCTAATATAAAACTTCTCTTTCGTAGGCCCAATCCGACATTGAATGGAAATTCGGGTTGAGCAAGTTGATTCGTAACATGCACAGAACCACCACCGCCCCGTCCCCGATCAATCTAATCACTACGTGGTTGTTTTACTTGGTAGACATCTGCAAAAAGCGCGGTAATACATATTACCAAATAGCGTAGCGTCAAATTTAAATTTACGCGACACAATTAGATTTTGTTTTAGTGAGGGCGAAAAAGCGTCAGAGTTTGGTGCATCTCATGGGCAGTTTCCAGAAACAAGCTCAGCTGAGTCCGAGATCGAAGGCCGGCGCCAAATGGCTGTCTAAGGTTAAGAAGGGCAGACAAATTGCTCCCAAGGAATCGATAGCCGTGGGTCAGATGACTCCGCTCGGGTCTCAGTTGAGCTTCACGGTTCATCACACGAGGATCGAACACGTCACGGACTGGGAATCGATCGCGAAGAAATATAGAGCCCTCATGGGACAAGTCGATGAGGTTAAGGAGTCTTCGAATGAAGAAGACGACGTGGAAGATGAAGATAACGGCGCTTCAAATGCGATGCCGCAAATGATACCGTCGTCGTCACTGGGATAAATGGGATAAAACTTTAAAGATGTCAGGTCGGAAGAAACCTTCGTGAAGCGACAACGTTGTAATTGATATAACGCCATCAATATTTACTGAACTGGTAAATGTTTGGCGATAATTTGATACAAATTTTGATACAAAATTAAATTTCAATAGTTTGTAAAAACTGTCTAGGGAAAAATTAGTGCAAACGTTTACACCAAATACTAATTTTAACTGGAACTGTCGGATTCTTATGGTTAGCTGTTTTTTTTTATATAAAATTCGCTAAGTTTTTTCGTTTTGCTGATAAATTGTTCCGGTAGTAAGAAAACGAAAGTTTTATTACACTTCTTTTAAGTTTTCAGGTAATTTCGAGAAAATTTCTTTCAAAATTAAATGTTATATCTTTCTTGTATGGGGTGTCGCACATTATTTATTAATTTATTTACTCCGACAAGCGAAGACGCTGTCCAAACATATGTTAATACTTACATAGTCGAAAATACAAAAATAAACTTAAGTAGCCATTTCTAAGTTACGTTACACATTAAACAAATTTAGATTTAAGTAAAATGAATCAATATCTTCGCTGTTCAGTAAAACAAGGTTGTGATACGTACGAGCATATCTAATAATTGAAGAGTTTGAACTGTAACGTAAGTAATTTGTAGCATCGGATGACCAATTAAGAAGGTCATTCGGTTTTTCCCAGAAAAGTTATCGTCGTAAACACTTGGGGTGAAAAAATTGTGACTGAAACTTCCAAGAGAAAATGTTGAAATTTTTTTTAAAGTATCTAGAATAGCACCACGACGCGCAATCGCAAACTAACTAAAGCTTTTCAAGTTGGAAAAAATGCGATTTTATCTTTTAAATGGTTTTTGCGCCATCAGTTAAGGAAAAGATTGGGGAGGGGGGTGAGGGGTATTCGAACATTTTCTGAAAACAGTTTCTGAACTACTGAACGCATTTGGACAAACTTGGAATTGTTAAAAAGGACTCTTCTTAGGCTATTAACGTTAATCTAAGCAGATTAATTTGACTGTTTGAATCGCCGTTAAAGAGCGTTTTATGACATTCCTATCTGTAAAGTTAATTTTCTCAAAAACATGCGGCGATAACACTTTTGTTGCAACAAAATATGAAAAGAAGAAGAAATAATGTCGCATCTTTGGAAATATTTTGAGTATCTCTCTTTGGCTGTTAACTCTCGAAAGACATTAAGTTTAAGTGGTTAATTTTTGCTTAGATTTAGTTAAAAAAATAAAAAAAATTGTAGAAAGTGTATTTTTATAATAGCAATACTTCTGTACAATATATTATATTTCCGTTTTTAAGATAATAAATAAAAACATTATTATTCAGCCATACTTTTAGCACGACATGTTTATATGACAAATTTTTATATACGAAACTGCCCTGTATTTTAAACAAGAAATCATCCCCTGAAGTTGTCGCATCTGTTTTGAAACAGCCTTTTATTGGACAAAATTGAACAGATTTAGTATTAAATCGATATATAATAGATATGCCAAAAAAACTTGTTGAATGAAAAAAGAATAATGAAGAAGAGCAATAATTGAGCAAAATAATAACAATGAATGAAAAAAGAATAATGGAGAAGAACAATAATTGAGCAAAATAATAACAAATAATAACAAAAATTGTAAAAAAATACATCAAATTTACAAACAAAAATTTTAAATATAAATATAACACTATTTTACGTAGATGTTCAGTCCTTGTTGTCAAGTTGGTTTGATAAAAAGGTTAAGACAGGATTAGCTAAACCGATACTAATAATCGAAATAACCCTAAAAATTATTAAAAAGTGGACACCCTGTGCGATTCACTAAACCGAACGACATTGTAACCCGATATCGATTCTGAAATTTAATTAGATATCTTCAACAGACTGATGTCATCCTGCTAAATGTAACTTTCCAGATTACTTTTGTTTAAAAAACGTATTAAATAAAATCATTTCACTAAAAATTATTAAAAAGTGGACACCCTGTGCGATTCACTAAACCGAACGACATTGTAACCCGATATCGATTCTGAAATTTAATTAGATATCTTCAACAGACTGATGTCATCCTGCTAAATGTAACTTTCCAGATTACTTTTGTTTAAAAAACGTATTAAATAAAATCATTTCACTTTGTGTTTATTATTAAATTCCAACCAGGCGTTCCCGAAATCAAGCTAACTTTGTAATTCATTTTGACTTTGCCCATCTACCTAATTTCAGAAGTTAGAGAATGAATTTCTCTATTCACAATTAGCATCACATCCTATAGAGCATATAATCCAACTTAACTATAATTTGCAGTGATTTTTTTATCTTCTCTAAAGCCAACACAACATGGAATCTCGAAAATGAAAAACAAGATCTTTTAACCTGCTGTTTGAACCATTGATTTTTGATTGCGCCATTAAGGAAGTGGCACCTGAGAACTGTCGAAAAGGAATCCAGCATAAAAATAAATCGCAAACAATATTCACATAGACTGCAAAGTAAGCAACAAGATTTAACTGATTTCTATTATACTAAGATCCGCATGAACATGCAAGTTACGCCGCGCCAGCCCCATCAGTCGCTACGGTTGACGTTAAGAGCAGACCAAATAAAAAAAATAAACGGCTATATCTCGAAAACTAATACAAAGTAGTCCCAATTTTGTATTTTAAATAAGACAGGATCCTTGATAGAATTATAAACCAAGTGGTTTCCATTTGAAAAATAATATTTTCGCCAGTTTTTATATTTTTTTCAACATTCTGTATTATCATTTATCGAAATATACTAAAGCTTAATTTTATTGGCAAACGTAAGTTTTGATATAAATTGTTAAATAGTTCATAAACGGTGAAATTTAAGTATTTGAATGAACTATACCCAGAATTTTCCGGGAAACACCTACAATATAGAAGGTGTTTAAAATAGTAGTATTTAAAATAAGAAACACACATTTTTGGTAGCAATTGTTTTACCATAACAGTTCGACGAATTTCCCGAAACCCTATTTTTATTACATGTTTAAATTCTTGCTCCCACCTCAATATTTTTTTTAATACCACCATTTTTTTCTGCAAAATTGGACCAATAGGAAGCCAAAACTTTGGTTGTAGTTTGCGAATGTCCTGTAATTTAGTTCATATTCTACAAAAACATTGTTTTTCGTATGAAACACCATGCATATTACCAAAGCTTTCAAAAGGTTTTTAAAAGGTGTAGAATAATTAAATGGGAAATTCTATTCATTTTCGTTCAATTTCGATCATAATTATATTTAATCCTAATTGCAATCCATACTAATAAATATACAAAAATATAATTAGGGTTCGCCAAATCATCATTGAAAAAATAATTGCTAAGTCGTGCTCTAAGGGATGCTATCGCGAAGGCATCAATATATTACCAAAGCTTCTAAAAGGTTTTAAAAAAGTGTAGTATAATTAAATGGGAAATTCTGTCCATTTTCGTTCAATTTTGATCATAATTATGTTTGATCCTAATTAGGGCTCGCCAAACCTTCATGGAAAAAATGATTGCTAAGTCGTGCTATAAGGGATACTCCCACGAAGGCATCAATAGAGACGTTTTTGACGACTATTTTGAAGAAAACACGAAAAGGAGGAAATATGGCATGGTGGCTTGAGCAGTTATTGACTCAATTTCCAAAGCGAAATCCCAAATTTTCTTAACAAGATTAATTAAGACGATTAATCAACAATTGACCTCGTTATTTAAACTTCCTTCAACACATGACCAGTTTCCTCATCGGCGTATTGACCGTGGAAGAAAGGGAATTTTTTTGACCACCCAGAGCTTCAAAATTAAACCCTCTGGACTTTGTAATTTTGAATTTAAATGAATTTACTTGAGGGATATGGCATATGCCGAAGACGTCAATTCTTTGCAAGACTTGCCGCAGTAAATACACGCAAATAGCCAATAGAAAAGTTTTGTTTAACATTCAACAGTATATTATGCAACAATTGCGGTAAACGTCATTTGGGAGTGTTTAATAAACGAGTGACTTAAGAAATTTACCAAACGTGTTGCAAACTATGCTTTTTCTACTCCCTTCTGTAAAATACCTAATTATACACCGATCTCGCTTGCGGGAAGCATCAATTTACCAAGTGAGTTCGTTGTTCTATCTATCCTAGCCACTTCGGACATTTTCGAGGTATTACCGCATGGGTTTGAAACCATTCGGATGTTTTCGGAGATTTTACCGGACGGCTTGAATTTTGACGTTTGTCGATTCTGACGGTCATGTCAGTGAATGTATTCGTGTTGTTTTGCAAAAATGAAACTAACCAAAACTAACCATCGTAGAAAAAGTATAGTATGCAACAAGTTTGGTAAACCTTTTAAACTACTCGCTCCGTTCGTGCCAAATGAACTGGTAACTCAAATGTCGTTTTCCACACTTGTTGCATAATATACTAATTTTCTACGACCGTTAGTTTTTGGGCACATTTTGGCAAAACAACGAACACATTCACTAACGTGACCGTTAAATTAATATACGTCAAAATTCAAGCCGTGCCAGATCAGAAAACATCTGATTGCTGCCAAACCCGTGCGGAAATATCTCTATGGCTGTCATCAGTGGGACATGGAACTCATATGGTAAAGTGACACTTTTCGCACGCTAAATCAGTGTATAATTAAGTATTTTGCAGAAGGGAGTAGAAAATAGTATAATGTGCATTTGAGACACGAATTAATTTGGCATGAGTGTAGCGAATGTTTAATAAACGACTGACTTAAAAAGTTTACCAAATGCGTTGCCTGGTATACTTTTTCTACGACCGTTAGTTTTTGGGTACATTTTTGCAAAACAACTCGAATACGTTCTCTGGCATGACCGTAAGAATTGACAAACGTCAAAATTCAAGCCATACGATAATATCTCCGAAAACATCCTATTGCTCCCGTAAAGGGTAATGTTACCACGTCACGGCTGCGAGTCACTTCGGACATGTCCGAGATATTACCACACGGATGTTGGATTTTAACGTTTGTCAGTTCTATCGTTTTGCAAAAATGTATCCAAAAACTAACCGTCGTAGAAAAAGTATAGTATGCATCACGTCTCTCGTTTATTAACCACTGGCTCCGCTGCGCTCCGCTCGTACGAATTTAACTCGTGACTCCAATGCCGTTTACCACATTTCTTGCATAATATACTAGGCTTGAATTTTAACATTTGTCAACTCTGACAGTCATGTTAGACGTCACTGAGTGAATGTATTCGTGTTGTTTTGCAAAAAAATTATAAAAATACCTTGAACCTTTGAAACCCAAATTAATTAAAAACAAGGCTTAAACAAGAGCACCTTTTCTATGAAAAATTGAAATTTCTGCCAGATTCAGCGTGTTCCTTTCAAGCATAACCCCATAATACTGGGAAACTAACGACCATTTTTATTCAATATTCCGTATATCGTAACATTTGATGTGGTTCTACAAATGTTCAAATAATCAAATAAGTCCTGTAAAACGTGTTACAACTTCCGCCGTGTCTTTTTCGCATTTGCATAGCTCCATTCTACCACAATATCCCTTTCGGCATTATGATACACTATAGACAATTTTTTGTGCTTGTCGGTCAGTTTAAATTTCTTGTGTTGTGATATAGGTCTCATAGTTTATGATATCGCGATTTTCGAGAAATTAGATGCTACGATTTAAATAAAACAAATGGTGAATTTGAGCGAATAACTATTCAGCGTGCCGCGCGTAACATTCGCATCGATCGGGCAAAACGCTTTTCTTGCGCCGCAGGAACGCCAAAATCCCTTCCTGCTCTCCCTGCATCCCATCGCCGGCAGATTAAAACGGGCCACATAGAGTTGCCATTCGGGAGTCTCTATCAACATTGCTCGCAGTAGAGTTCAAGTGAATCTGGAAGGCTTCTTTAAAACGCACGCTACGTTCTATAAGTTTTACCCTGACAAATTAAATTATATCTTTGCATTGAAGTTACCTTAGTCGGAAATATATATTGCATTTTTGGGAAACGTAATTTTGACTCAGGTAAGTTGAATATGAAGTTGCCATTGAATTTTTACTTTAGAAGCTTAGAGATTGTTGGAGTTATTCATTGCATGTTCACCATGTTAATCGTTTTCTCTTGCACTTTATGATATAGTATGAGTATGATATATTGTGAAAAGAAGACGAAACATAAAAATAATATCAGTTTTTTCGTAATCTAAACATAGGTATAAACGAGCGCTGTTGACGGAAGTACTAATTTTCATCCGAGTATGGAAGACAGTGCATCGGCGTTGAAACTAAAAGAACTTGGACTTTTATTTATTATATTTATTGTTTTAAATTATAATACAAATTTGCTCAGATTTTCCTTTCATCATTTTTTTATTCATTCTGCGACCGCCAAACATAAAGGGGTGATTCCTTATTTAAAATAAAGAGTAGTTTATTATATAAAAAGGAAAATGTTGCGCTACGAATATGGCGTAAAAATTAAGTTATTTATTACCTTAATAATGAAAATAGCTAGAACAATGAAATATTACGAATATGTGACTATTATAAGAACACACAGTATGCTTTTTTTTTAATTTCGATAGACGGTTTTATCAGAAACCTATTTGTCTCCTAAAATTTTTATATATATCTTAGAAAAATTATTTTGTTGGGTGATGTGAAACAGTTGCATTTGGTACATTTTAAAAATAATTTATTAACGGCTGTTTCGACGAGACTATATCTTCATCAAATGTAAACACTTAGCTCTTATCCGCTTCTATGTACAGGGATTTTCAAAACAAATGCGAAGAACATGAGAGGTGATTCCTTGTTTAAAATAAAGGGTAGTTTATTATATACGTTGGATCAAAAGCCAACCATGCGCTTTTTTTAATTGCGTTCCATGTCACCATCATGCATGTTTCTTCTAGTAGTAGAACGTTTTCTAGCAAAGAACGTAAACTAATATTGATGTCTACGTTCTGTTATCCAATGCGGATTATCTTTAGCCCATACAAGCCTGTTGAAAACATTTGCAGTTTTGAGAAACGAGCTTCGTCTAAAAAGAGAATTTTTGAACAAAAAACGATAATCATTCCGTGAACCCATCGGTTAAAATCGGTTCGAAATTTCTTGGTGAAAGAGCTTAACCCTCTATGCGTCGTAGGGATATAACTAGGATTGTGGAATTAACTGCTCTTTTTTGTGTCAATTGACCGCATTAATTTTAAAAATACAATGAGAACTAAATGGAGCACATATTTTTCTTTCGATTAACCGAACCGCTAAGTATTATATTCGGATATTCCTTGAAGAGGATTATAGATAAATTAGACATCACAAACGCATAATAATTTATTATAAAATTCATATTTATTATCAAATAATAGGCACCACTCTACATTTGCAAAATGCCATTTAAAACACTTTTTGAACAAGTGGTCAAATGACATTCAATTGACCAAACTCAACACTAGACATTTAATATCTTCCATGCAATTTTCCGGGCACTTGTCTCCTTCATAATATTTAGCATAGAAACTTCTAATGAGATTATTCGAATTTCGCGATGTCGGCCGGTATCAAAAATAATATTTCGATTCATGTTGCCATTGATGAAGTATGGTAAACAATTTGTTACATGGAGCTCCCCTATTAGGATATGCTTGTGCATGCATATCTGATATTTTTGCATTAGTAATTCACCATAATTGAATTAAAACTCTTATTGAACAATTGAATGATTAGGCAATATATTTTTTTAATTTAATTAGTTGTAGTTTGTAATTAAAATAACCGAGTAACATCAAATAAAGCAATAATAAGAAAAGCTTTAAGAAGTGCAACACTGTCACTTCTAGTGCACTAATTTTTTTTATTTATTGTATAATATAAAATAATTTTTTTTTATCTCCTTATGCATTATGAAAAAGTTGTAGGAGACTAATGGTTCTAAATAAAACATAAAATAGAGATTTTTTTTACATCATTGCGCAAGTTTTTCCTTCAATTCAGTTAAGAAGAATAATGATAGGGATCGTCTAATTCAACCCCCTTCTTTATTTAGAAAAACGAACTAAAAATATGCAGAAAGTAAATATTAAAAAAATAATTATAGCCCAATATCTCCCTAATAGTTGGCTTTTGACCCAACGTTTATATAACAAACTATCGTTCATTTTAAACAAGGTATTACCGCCTTCAGTTTCCCATTTGTTGTGAATCGTCCTGTGTAACAGCTTTATCCATCAATTTTTAAAATCTACTTGGTCAATGCATTGGAATTTTTATATCCAAAGCAAAGCTTCGTATGTAATATTTTATTTTTATAAAAATGTATTTACTGATCTGGTTTTTCTTCTTTCGGCTAGTTTATTTTTGAACGGGTTTTTGCCAAAACCTTGGGGGTTTTAAATTTAAAAGTGTTTTTTCCCACCAATTGTACTATTTGAGAAAACTGTACGACCATAGTAAACTTTTCGCCTAACTATAGCTAGTTTCTTAATGCCAGAGAGTATTAAAATGGAAATTAAGATGGACAATTTAAAAGTTATAAAGTTCAGATAAATTGTTTCCGATAATTACCGTATTTCAATTAAGACCGACACACCTCCAATTGTTCTAAATTAGGGTCTCACTAAGAAAGACGAGTTTGGTCGTAAATAAAAATATATATTTGAATTAAAAATAATATAAAATTAGATACATTTTAATAAATATTACTATTTATAAAAAACGTGCTATTCGTTTTTAAAATTTAGTAATCATGTTCCGAGAAGTCCGATGGACTATATTTGTCGGATACAAAAGAAATATAAGGGGCTTTACAGTATATGTTACCAGCTTCTCATATCTTTTCTTGTGTTTTAATGACACGCACTTACTCCATATTTCACAATTTACATTTCCGAGCGTGCCTTTCTTAGAGCGGACCATCCTTCCATGAAGGCTTGTCTCTCGATTTTTAAAATTTAATCCTGTCTTATTTTACAAACGGTATACCCTTCATTTACCCAAGTCTAGTTCGGATAATAGATATTCCTGTTTTCCCTTCGACACATTGTTCTCGCTGGCCGATAATTTCGTCTAATTTTTGAAAGAAATTTCCACAAATTTCCACATATTTACAAAACTTCTGTATTCCTCCTACGTCGGAAGAACCCAGAAGTTACAAGTTACAAGCTATTTTTAGTAAAGAAAATACATTTCCTTCTAAGTGTTTCACAATATCTCCTTTAACTAGTAGGGACCCAAAATTCTCATCACAAAATTTACCCATCCTTTAAATATTCGATTCACTTCTCCAGAATTTCCAATACAAATTAGGAAATGGCGTAGCGAATAGCCGAAAATTGCAAATTTTCGAGGAACCGCTTGCTTTAAAGCAAACCAATCCGCTCTACTCTAGCTTTATATCTCTTTCGTCGTTCCTGCAACTTCTTTCTAATTTAAATTCTAAAAAAAAAACGTTGCTCTAAGAGGAAGAGCAAAAGGGACTGACTATAAAATTTAGTTGCAGCTAGCATTATCCCACACGGTTTTGTCTTTCTCTATACTTTTTCACATTTTATATCCATAGATAAATACAATTTTCAATTTCTACGAAAATTATATTCATATTTCGTGTGTGCTGTCCGATGGCAAAATGCATTTTAAAGATTAATTAATTAAATTAAGTAATTATAAATAATAACATAAAAATAAAATTTTAAATATTTTTACACTTAACTAGTGCTCAAAAGAATTGAATACTAAAATTCAAAAAGTAAAATGCTTAGGTTATATCAAAATCATTTATTAATACCTAATATTTCAACTTAAACTCAAAAACTACGAACGATAGAAAAAAAGAGTCTAAATCTACATTTTTTATTTTTTATTTTTTATGTCTAAGGGGTGTACCGTCAAGCACCAGCTTCCTCATTTTAAATAGACCCCTTTGTATTTATTTTATTTCTTGTATAAATAACCTATAGCTAAGTCCTAAGGGTTTTAGACAAATCTTAAACTCTATGTCAAAAATAAATATTTAACAATTTTTTTTTATAAGGGAGCTTTCACTATTTAATTTTGGATGAATTTTCATTGTTGCAATGGGGACTATTGTCATATATTGTTGAAGATAGGTAGGCGGTGTAGAACATATTACAAGAAATACATAAAAAAAATTCCGGTGAATACAAAAATCGCAATAATATACAAGGTATTATTTTTAAAATAAGAGAGTTGGTATGTACGTAGATATGAAAAAGTAAAAAATAAAAAATCTAAATGAAATTCTCCAATTTTTCTATTAAACTTATTTTTCTATCGTTTGTAGTCTGTGGGTTAAGAGGGTAGGGAACCTTATTTCTACCTACCCTATACGGTGTACATATATTACATTACACTTCTTTGCAAAAAGCTCTACAAATATTTCAGTTCAGTTAGCATCATCATGACAACCGTAAAACTCAATAATTCAAAACCATAAGAGCGTTATTTTAAGAAAAAGGGTTTAAGTCCATGTCACACTCATTTACAGTACTATCCTGTCCTCTATTAAGTGGAGACTATTCTTACAGTTAGTCTGACTTGTCATCGAGAGATAAACGCTTCTTCTTTAATGAAATGCTGTTTCTAGCAGCAGGAATGTCTTCTTACCGACGAAATATAATATATATAAATATATATATATATATATATATATATATATATATATATATATATATATATATATATATATATATATATATATATATATATATATATATATATATATATATATATATATATATATATATATATATATATTCTCACGTATTGATTCACGGATGGAAAAATGTTATGACACTATATTCCGGGATATCATCCGTTCGCTCGTTGAACTCCGACTGGAATCTTGGAACACTCAGTGTTCGAAGTGTTTTCGGAGCGCGAGCATTGAAGATGCCAAGTGAGATTTTGGCGAAACGTCTGCAGGATTCCAGTCGGATGCAAGATTCCAGTCGGAGTTCAAAGAGCGAACGGATGATATCCCGGAATATAGTGTCATCACATTTTTCCATCCGTGAATCAATACGTGAAAAAAAAAAAAAATATATATATATATATATATATATATATATATATATATATATATATATATATATATATATATATATATATATATATATATATATATATATATATATATATATATATATATAAAATTAGAATATTATGCAACCAAGTGTGGTAAACGGCAATTGTGTCTAATAAACGACTGACTTAAAAAGTTTACCAACTGTGTAGAATAGTATACTTTCTCTACGACCGTTAGTTTTTGGGTACATTTTTGCAAACCAACACGAATAGATTCGCTGACATTGCCGTCAGAATTGACAATTGTCAAAATTCAAGCCGTGCGGTATAATCTCCAAAAATAGCCCATTGCTCCCAAATCGGATCCGTGGATCCGTGGGTCGTGAAACTCACGCACGCTAGATCGGTGAGTAATTAGGTATTTTACGGATGGAAGTAGAAAAAGATATTTAGTTGAATTGTTTGAAAATACGTTGCGCAGAATTCATGCAATCATAGAGCATTTCGTTAAATCGCCCTTTGAAACAACCAAGGTGCCTTTAAATCAGTAGTCATTTTTTCACCTCCAGCAAACGAACGAATTGTTTTATCGCACCCTTTGAAAATTCTAGTTTTAACCGGTTTACTCCCGAAAAATACAATTGACACTTTACGTTTTATGGCCTTTTCCATTCTCTTTGGATAAATATAATATTAGCCGGATAATTCTTATATTATCCAATATTTTACATTTATATAATTGAAAAGATGAAATATAAACCAATTCAATCTAAAAAGTTATAGGTTATAGTTATAAGGTTTTAAAAAAATAAATAAATAAATAAATAGCGCAAAGGGCAGATTGGATATAGCTTTCTTGGCGGTATCCTTCGTTTAGGATATTGTATGTTTTAATTGGCAAAAGGAACTTCTTGTCCGTAATGTTACGTCCATTGTCTAAGATAAGTCTCACGATAACGGCTCTCCTTGCAGGTCCCTTCGAGGAAATAGCACTTAGCCGAAATGTGTTCGGTTATAAACAGAAAACAACTTTACTCCGTTCTACTTGTTTCTATTTGTATGGAAATTTCCAGCGAAGCGGAAAAACGGAACTGCGGTGGGATATTAACAACCAGCAGGGGAATACTCACCAGCCCAAATTTTCCAGGTACTTTTAGCGAAACTAATACGTTTAGTTTTAATTTGCCCCTACCTCTAAAAGGAACCTCATCTTAATGAGTGCGACCAGCCTGTCCTAGTAAGGGCAATGACGTATGATGGTAGGGAAACGGACGTCCCTAGAATTTTCTAACATAGTTAGGGTTAGTACTGTACTAGATGTTCGAAATAAGATTTCCTATCCCCAAAAATACGAACTACGATAATAAAAAAAATGCATAATGTGGTTGTTCTGTTCATTTGGGGTAAATACGAGATTTCGTAGTTTTAAATGTAACACCCTCTATGATATTACATTTTTGATGATAAAATTCTTGATATATTTATTCGGCGCTAAAATCATACTTTTGTTGTTTTCAATATAACAATTATTCATTTTCTGAATACATTCAGGTTTGAATGGGAAACATCAGATTAATTAAATAACAAAACTAATCAATGATAGATAATTAGCGTCAAACTAATAGATGGTATTTTATAAAATTTAACAACCATATTAAAATATTATTACGATAGAAAAATGTTAATTGTCAATTATTTCGGAAACTATAAATTTCCACAATCGACAACCTTATACATAGCCACCTTTGCTTTTAATTCCAAATCCGATAAAGTGATAAAACTAGGGAAAAAACAAGATTTTTACGTTTTTTGTAATCTAATTTTTGTACTTCATTTTTGCTCACCCTCTATTAATTTGCATAGAAAATATCCAGTCACAACAACAATAGGCCCTTTTCCAAAATTAGATAATTAAGGCTCCCTTATCGGAAAAATTATTAATTATATTTACTTAGGCATAGGATATTATACATGAATAATTTTCCGGGGAATCAAAAAATGCAATAATATACAGGATGTTAAATTTAAAATAAGAAAGGTCGTTCTTACACCAGATGAATGAAAACGGCTTGTAGAAATGCACAATTAATAATTAAAAAATCTAGATGGGACTATGCAGATTTTATATTTAACTTTTTTTCTATGGTTCGTAGTTTCCTTGTTAAAAGGGTGCTTTTCCTAGGCTGAATAAAAATGCAACGATATGCCATTAGGTGTGTCAATATATAGTAAGATACACAATAAACAAAACGCTAATTTATAATTTCGGATGCTAATGATATTTAATTTAGAAATAAAATTTTGTTATTTATCTTTAATACGTTTTGATATCCTTGTTCGTTCCCGTTTCTCTATTATCATCACCTATTTCTTTATTTCAATATTTTTTGAAAATTTGGGTTACATAACAAACCAAAGCTAATCAACTGTTGAAGACTAACTGACTAAGTAGTCAACAGTGTATTGAAATATGCAGCATTTTTCTCCATTTCTTCAAACAAAGATAAATAAACAATTTTTATATCATCGTTTTTCTAATATTTTCAAAAAATTATTACAAAAAAATATATTTTCATCTATGTCTTGCCCTAATAAGTCATCACAAACACCACCGAATTAATAGGCTGTGGACAGAGTGCTTTTAAGATAATACATTCAACACATTCGTTGTTTAACTACACTTACATTTGAAAAAATAAGGTATAGAGTTATACACTTAATATTACTGCATAGTTTGATATATTACTCAAAAAAATGCTGATATTCTTATGATGATCAACAATACTAAAGATTTAGAAAAATGAAAATAAAAAAAAATATTCTCTCTATGCACCCACCAAGTTTGGCACAACTCCGCCAAAACACCTGGTATATTCCGATGCTAACGGTTGAAACAAGAAATATTTAAATTTGTCACAGCACTCTCACTATGGCTAAAGTTAGAAAACTTTGTAAAAACCGAATATTAAAAATCAGGATTGCACTTGCGCTCCCTGGCAGTCATTTTCAAAACTCTAAAATAATTTCTGTTCCATTTACTTAATTCTTTGTTAATTTATACTTTACCTCGATGTTCTTACCGATACACCGAGTACAAAGCATCGTTATAGTTTATGCGAGCTTAGAATTTTTAAAAATTAGATCCACCTTTTATTGTTCTTCAATGCTAGTCCAATTGTGAAATTGACAGTTTCTCTCTACTTAAAAAATAAATTGAAACAACTGGCATTCAAAATCGATTAATTAATTAATAAAATGTTAGACTTTTCTACTCATAATAGCTGTAAATTCAAAATCTGTTTTTGGGAATATGTTAAACTATACCTAGTTTCTTAATGCGAGAGAATAATAAAATGTTAATTTGCAATGACAATGATCCCTGCTATTGCAAACAGGGTGGACAACTTCAAGTTTATATCGTAAAGTATTTTAGTTTCTAAGACCTATACACCTCGAATCCTCCCTAAACTTGAGTCACATTAATCTGTACATAATGGAAAAACGAGTTTGGTAAATAAACATGCTGCAAAACACTATAGATCCCCTTATTATTTCTGTGGACCCCAACGACTGGCTACTCGAAACATGATGACGAAAATGAACAGATAATAAGTTTTTATTTACTTGATCTTAAAATAGTATCTCAATCATCTCTATGATTTTTTTATAATCAATCAATTAATAAATTTTGAAAACACTAAGGTAGGTCAATTACCTGTCCGTCTATCTACCACTCTCGGAATTCGTTACAATCATCATAGGTAAATACAATACTACTCCTATCGAATCCGGCTAAGACCACTAAGTTCTGCAGCACAATAATGATTTATAACTCATATAGCCTCATTTCAATTTTTCTTTTATTCAGAATCCCATGCCGGGATAAAATGTCTAAGCCTTTTCGCGACCCGCCTGAAGAAAATCGATTTCCCGTTAAGGAACGACAACTTAAGATTATATTAAAAAGCGCTTAAAAAGGGCAGAAAATAGATTTTATTTCGAATGCGATAAATATAGGGAAATGGAAGCAAAACCAGCTTTGATTCTTGAGTAGATATTTGTTTTAGTTAAAGAAAATTAAAATTAAAAGTCTTGGAAATATCACAACGGCGACATATACATATACTCGCTCGTGGCAATGACAAAATCGGAGAAGGATCGGTGAATTCTAATTTGCTTTCGAGCTAACAATAACATATTTTTTCTCATTTTTTTAAATCATGTATAAATATATTTTGTGTTTTTATCCGTTTTTGGAAATTAAAATAAATATGTAAAGTTGTAACGAACACGCATAGTAGGCCCACCTGGACGTACCATCGTAGGCCTAGACCGCTGGGCACTGCGTACTCGCAAAAAATATATTGGTATTTTCAAAAATTTTTTGTCGCATAAGGAAGATTATTATTTCGGCGTTGTATATTTTTTGTTTAGCATTTAATTATCGCATTCTTTAAATATTCTCTCAAATACTCTAATTTAAATATTAGCTCGTTAATCAAAAAATTTACACGCCACTCTACTCTCGCTCTCTCCCCCCGTCACCCCCGTCTCGCCGGTGTTTGCAAGCATTTATATAGGAGTGCCTATTGTCCACTACTAACTAAAATATTTTAAATTTATTTATTTATTGATTATTATTATTGTGATCATTATAGGAAATTGTAGAGTTCAGCTTGTTGTATTTTGGCTCAATTAGCTGACCGTAATTGATATAATCAATTTTTCCTTCACATTTATTCCTTTGCTTAAAAACAAAAAATGAGCGATAAAAAAGTTAAAGGTTTGATAGCTCAAAGAGATAATGCTTCTAGTCGTTTGAACGAAATGTTCGCAGTGGCTACTCGAGCTTTAACAGATAATGCAATTCACATGGAGTTCAAGGTTCGTTATATGCATTTACCAGCTATTCTTACGGACTTTGAAACCCAACATGCAGCTATTTTAAATATTTTGGCAACGGTTGACGATAGTGACCTGGACGAACAGAGACATATTAGGAAAGTTTTTGACGACACATATTACAAGATTGCCGCTACTTATTCCCAATTGTTTGATGGTACTAAAATTAACCCCAGTACTCCAAGTCACATCAAGCTGCCTAAATTAGAATTGAAAAAATTTGATGGTTCATTGCGCAATTGGAAGACATTCATCGACCTTTTTAATTCTATGATTCACAATAACTTAACTCTTTCAAATGTTGAAAAGTTTACATACCTCATAAATTCCTTAGAAGGGCCCCCATTGAGCATTGTACAGTGCAATCCTTTAACTGAAGGTAACTATATCATTGCTTATAAGACATTGACTGAGCGCTATGAGAACTCTCGCTTGATTTCTGTCAGTCATTGGCGTGAAATAGAAAAAATAAAACCCCTCCAGAGTGAAACGGACGTGAAGGCCCTGCAGTCATTATTAGATAAATTTTCCGAACATTTATCAGCCCTCGACTACTTAGGTCATCCTACTAAACAGTGGGACTTTGTTCTCTTTTACATGCTATTCGATCGTTTAGATTCAAGCACTGCAACTCGATTTGAGCTGGAATGCGGAAACTCTTTAGATGATATTAACTACAAAAACAAACATTTTGAAGTTTTGTTAAACTTTCTCAAAAAACAATGCGTTGCTCTAGATACTGTCTCCCACTCTTCTGATTCCAAGATAACGGAAAAGGAAAAACCCTCTAAATCTCAGAAAAGAACCTTTCTTTTAAATTCTGACTCCTCCAATTGTCCAGTTTGTCATAAACGAGGCCATTTAATTTATAGTTGCCCAGAGTTTTTAGAAAAGGATTCTGCTAACAGATATAAGTTGGTAAAGATCAAAAACTTTGTGATAACATGCCCAGCTCTGATTTACCGGATGTTAGCTTTAGTAAATTTTCCCACTTAGACCTTGCCGATGATAAATTTAATATTTCAAGTTCCGTTGACATGCTTCTTGGTTGCGATGCATTTGGATTTCTCTTTAAGGAAGGGTCTATTTCTCACTCTATCAATGAACCTGTGGCTATTAATACACATCTGGGTTGGATTATTACAGGTCGAGTACCAACATCACCACCAACTCTCTCAAACAATACCCTTTGTTGCACCTCTACACTTTCACTCGAAGAGGTTGTTAATAAATTCTGGCATCTCG